GGCGGGTTCCTTGCGTTTGACCCCCACATCCCCCAGTCTCTGCTGGACAAGGCCGGCCCCCGCACCAACGCGATGGACCTGGCCAACACTTTCGGCCATTTTGAGCTCATCAACTACCAGCTCAAGCAGGTGGGCTGCGGGGGGGCAGGGAGGCTGTTTGTGGCTGTGCCCAGGAGTCTCAAGCGCGCGCAGGCAGACGTGTTAGCCTGGGAGCGTATGCCTGTGCACGCACACGTCATGATGTCATCAAGCCGCCACGCTGCTTTCCTGAGCTCCACGCCACCCCTATCAGTGTCGCCACGCAGTGTGCAATGCAGCCGCCGCGTGGCACCTGGACCGCCACCCTCCTTGCCATGCAACCCACCCACCCCCCACAAAGACACACCTTCCCCTGCTCACCTTCATTTGCCCCTCTCCCCCCCCCCCACCTCCACAGCTGCGCGCCGCGTTTGCCCTGGCCACCGTCCTGGGCCGCGCCGTCATCCTGCCGGAGCTGTGGTGCGGCCTGGACCGCTACTGGGCCCCCCACCCCGGCACGCTGCCCGGCTCGCGCTTCAAGCTGCCCTTCCTCTGCCCTGCGGACCACATACTGGACCTGGAGAACGGCCTTGCACGGAAGCTGGACAAGTGAGGGCGAGGGGCGCGGGGTGGGGCGTAGAGGGGAGAGCGGGGGGGAGCGCGCCCGGCGGAGAGTCGGGCTTTGGACACCCACTCAAGCCCAGGTTCACACGGCTTCCAGTTCACGGCGCTCACTGGGGCGTCCGCCACTGCCGGATGGGATGCCGGAATGCACGCTTGCCAACCCGTGGCCCTGGCTGCCCCCGTATCGCCTCAGCCCCGCCTCTCGCGTCGCTCCTCAACCCCCCTGCAAAACCGCCCCGCCGACCTCCAGGGAGGAGTTTGGCCCCGACATCGCGTACCGCGAGCACTCGTTCCTCAACCACAGCGCGCTGCCCGACGTGGTGCGCGGCAGCGTGGTGCACGTGGTGTCCTGCAGGCACGGCTCCGTGGGCTGCGCCACGGGGGACAACCCTGCCACCCTGGAATTCAACAGGCTCTTCGTGGAGGAGCGACTGGACTCAGACCGCCTCGCCATGTGGGTGGCGCCGCGACCCCTCCCAGCCCCCAAATTGTAACACCACAGAGTGCTGCGGCGCCCTGTGTTCGCCCCTGCGTTGGGCTGCCGACATCCAGGGGCGTGCTCAGGGGGCTTTGCCGCGGCGACGTGCACTCCTGGCGACGGCGGGCATCCTGATGAGAGCACAGAGGGATGTGAACACCTTTGTCGTCAAACCTGTCTTAACCAAGTCGCCGCTGCCCCGGCGTGCCCGATCCACCGCCTGCAACTGCAACCACATCAACCCCCATACCACTCCCCAACCCCACCCCTCAGGGCGCTGTCGTCTGTGGCCAGCATATCAGTGCTCAACTTCACCTCCATAGGCAGCGCCTTTGGCAACTTCAGCCGCCCCGCCGACTTCACGCGCTTCCAGCGGCGGATGGCGCAGTACGGCGCGGTGTGGTGCTGCGTCGATGCGCACCCGGGGCACGTGCACTACGACCTCTGGTGGGACACGCACCACACCGACAAGTTCGGCCGCAAGTGGGGCGCTGGCACCTGGCGGCCAAAGACGGGGCCGTGAGGGCGCCGCGCCCGGCTGGCCCTCGCCCTCGCCGGAGGAGGTGTCGAGTCCTGAGCGCTGTGCCTGGCCCCGCGCCGCGTCGGCGGTGCGTTTTGTTTGCCCTCTGCCAGGGGGCCGGCGTCTGGCAGCTGCAGACCGCTGCATCCACAGCAACGCATGCTTGGTAGCTCTCGTGAATGACGACTGCCTAGACAATCAACACTAGCTGTTACTCTGGAATAGTGAGGGGCGCAGCGTTGAAAACACGCCGAGTCGGTACGGGCAGTGCAGTGCAGGCGGGGCTGCCTGCCGCAGCTGGCTGTGCGGCAGCGCTCCATCCAGGCGAAACGCCCATCTGGGCGTCTCAGCTTCATCAATAAGACAGGGCTGGGTGTGCAGCAGTACAGGCCAGGGCAACACCAGAGGCAATACAATACAAGGCAGGTGCATGTGAGACATACAGGGGATGGCGACCCCTGAGCAGTGGTACAGGCACGGCAGCTTTTGGCACAACAACGTCTAGCAGCACGCGCTTGACTGGGATGCCAAAGCCAGCCAGTTGCGCAGGCTGTTCCAAGCCGCGGGACCCAGCGGCGGGCTCCGCCTGCGCTACAAACTGCATACACTGCGCACTGGCACCACAGGGCGGCTGCGCGCATGCCACAAAGCAGTTTGTACAGCGCAAACAACGCAGGTCGCCTGTGCTTCACACCCCTCGAAAGAATGTGTGCAGATACTTCAATAATTGACGCAGCTACTAAGACAGCGGAGGCCGCAGTCATGAAGCGTACAGAGGGGCGGCACACCAACCCACCCCGCCCATGAATGCGTGCAGCACGAATGAAAGCACACAGCCGTGCAAGTCGCACCGCTCTTCGATGGGGCCCTGCTCAATCCCAGGCTGGGCCAGATACGCATACATGTTCACGCGCAGCAGCTGCAGGCCTCAGCGATCGCAGCGGAGCGCAGCACAACAAATGCCGTGCGGCACGCCGCACATCGCAGCGCGCGTGCCTTCAATGCCTCCCCGCACCCCCCCCGTTATGCCGCCACCAGCAGCTCCAGCTGCAGCTTCTCCCAGAGCAGCTCCGCGTCCCGCAGCACCTCGGGCGCCAACACAGCGCCCGCCGGCCCCGCCGTGGCGCCCCCGCCGGCCCCGCCTGGGGCCGAGCCTTCCACAGGCGCAGCGCGCTCAGTGTCATCCGCGCCGTCCGCCCCCGCCCTGGCCCTCTCCAGCAGGATCCCCAGCTCCAGCCAGGCGTCCTGGTAGGCGCCACCAAAGTAGTGCAGCAGGCCCAGCTGCAGGCGCGCCTCCTGCGCGTCGCGCCCACGAGGCCGGGCGACGGGCCGTGAGCAGGCGGGACGGGGTGAGGGCGGCGTCTGCGCTTTTGGTTCAGGCAGGGCCGCGCGGGCGGCGGTCGGAGGCACCCAGGCGCGGGCGCCGACGAGTCGCAAAGCGTCGACGGTGGAAAAAGGCAGCATGGTGGGCGCGGATAGGATCCGGAAAGCAGGCAGACCGCCTTTGGTGCCGTCTTGAGTGCAGAAAGGTAACGAGGGTGCGCTGTGCTGCCGCCCCTGCGGCCGCCCACCTGGCAGTGGGGCAGCAGCGCCACGCGCTTGGACGCAGCCGCCGCCGCCCGCTCGAGCGCGGCGCCGTCCAGCCGCTGCACGCGCGCGTCCAGCGCCGTGGCGGGCAGCAGCGGCAGCCGTGCGGCAGGGGAGGCGCCGGTGCCGCAGGCGGCGGCCCAGTGGGCCGCGAGGAGGTCTGCCAGCAGGGCGGCCAGCAGCTGCCTGCGGCTGGAGGGGGTGAGCAGGTCCTCCTGGGTCACGCCAAACAGCTCACACACCTGGAGGATGCTCGGGGGTAGGGGAGAGGGGACATTGTGGGCGGGGAAGGCGCGCCAGCAAGTGTGTGTGGAGGGGCTCGGCTGCGGCGAGCCGGGGGTGGCGGGGACGCGGATCTGGTCTCGCGCTGCCCTCGGGGTCGCGCCCCTCGCCGCACCCCTGCTGCGGCCCCCGACACCCCGCCCTCGCGCCGCGCAGGCCGCACGCGGCACGGCGCCTCCTCCCGGCCAGGCCCGACTGCAGCCCTGGCCCCCCACCAACACGCCGCCAGCCTCGCCGTCCCTCGTCCCCCGGCCCGTCAACCCCGCGCCCCACCTCGTCCACAGTCAGCAGCGCGCCGCGCCCGTACACGTCCACCACGCACCGCCCCACCCCCGCCGCCGCCAGCGGCGCGTCCGCGGGCCAGGCCAGGCAGTAGTGTGAGCCTCCCTCGTCCACCAGCACCCTGACGGCCAGCTCCAGCCCCAGCCGAGCGCACACCGCCGAGTACAGGATGCACAGCGCCACGCAGCCGCCCGCGCCGCGCTCCAGCACTGATGACAGCTGGGCGTCGCTGCCAGGCCGTCGCGGCGGGGCGCGCAGGAGCAGGGTGATTACGGGGTTGCAAGGGTCAGGGCTGCGCTGCGGGCGCATGGGGTTTGGGCCGGGGGGGCTGCAAGGGAGGGGGCACTCCCGGCTGCATAGGGGGCTGTGGGCTTCGCAGTCAACGAGATTAGGTGAGCTTGCCCCCGCGGCGCGGCGCAACGCCGCCCGCCCCGCAGCATGCACAGCCCGCGCCCCGCCCATGCCCACCCCGCTGGTCCCGCCGCGTGCCCAGGCCCCTCCTCGCCAGACCACTGCGCGACCGCCCCCCCCCCCCTTCACCTGGGGTCCCCCCAGCGGTTGCATGCTGTGTAGCCCTGCTGCTGGAACAGCACCGCGTTGACAGACCCCAGGGCAGCCAGGGGGTAGCGCCGCACCAGGGCAAGCGCGTCCGCACCGCTGCCGCCGTCGCCGCCGACCGCAGCTGCAGGGCGTGGGCCATCACGCCGCCCCCGCGCCCCGCCAGCGGCCGCGTTGCCCGCCGCGGCCGCGCCGAGCGCCTCTGAAGCGGCGGCGGCGCCGCTGGCGTTGACGCGCGTGGGCGCGGCGGGCCTGAGCAGGGCCGCGAGGCCGCTTTGCAGCCGGGCGCCCAGGTCGCGGAGGGCGCCTGCCCCACCAGGGCCCGGCAGCCACGCCCGCACCGGCTGCACCCGCTGCGTCGACGGCGGTGCCGGCGCGCGCGGCGTTCGGTCGAGGCCGTCTGGGCTGTCTGGGCCGCCGGCCGGGGCCGCCGCAGGGTGGGCGCTGGGGCCGTGGCGCGCCGCAAAGTGGCGCAGCGCGTCGTCCGCGAGGGCGTCGAGGCGCGACAGGCTCCACGTCGCGGCGCCGCCGCTGCTGCGATCCAAGTGCGCCGCGGCGGCGGCCGGCCGCGCGGCCAGCGGCGCGAGGGCGGCGGCGGCGGCGGCGGCCTCGTCCTCTAGGGCGATCAGGAGGGCGGCCTTGGTGACGGGGATGCGGCCGTCCGGGACGCGCGGGTGCGTCTCCTCGGCAAACGCGTCGGCGCACCGCCGCGCGACCTGCGAGGGGCGACGTGGGCGCGCGTACGCGCGTATGGACGGCGCGCAGGGTTGGCGCGGGGGGTTGCGGCTGGGGGCAGCGCACGCGGGTTGTGGTGTGGCGATGGGGGCAGCCCGACAGGTGCGGACCCCATGCACTGAGCGCGTAGGGGACCAACCAAGGCCACCCTTCGGGAGCCTGCAAGGGCACCACAAGGCATGGCTTTGAAAGTTGCTTTTCACATCAGGTAGCCGGGTGACTGAGACACCGAGGCTGTTCAGTGCGCGCGGTGCGACCCACCTGCTCTGGACGCGCCTTAAGCGCCCTGGCGTGGCGAGCGCGCCGCACCCGCAGCTCCTGGCCAAGAGCCGCATGCAGCTGTCGAAACGTGTAAATACCCGTAGTACCTGCTTGTCTACGCGTACGCGCGCTGCACCCGACCTGCCTCATTGATTTTCATGAAAGAGATCTTCTGGTCGGGTCGCAGCTCGTAGCAGGATCACGCGAGGCCTACACGCGCCAGACACCAGGATGCTAGTAAATCGAGCGTCGACCGAAACCCGCTCGTGCCCAACAAGGGGTCGAACCACATTCCGAACCATCGGCACACATTTGCGATGCGCCTTGCCCCATGGCTCAATCACACTCAGGCGGTCCGTTTTTGTCCAGAGCGAGGCATTTATCTGTGAGAGAGCCTCAACGAGGCGAAGGGGTCTCAGCATCAGCAGCGCGGGGCCTCTTCTCACCCACGCGGACCGTCAGTAGAGCATAAAATAACTTCGAGCGCATTCACAGGGTCAGCCCGGGCAAGCACGGAGACCGTCGCAGGAGTTTGGCTCCGAGGAGGTCGCAGGGTCCGGAGCACCTGCAGCCATCGTCAGGACGCGTGCGTAGGCCAGTGAATTTCTAAACGCCATCTTGCAGCCGGCCGTGGCCCCGCCACGGCTGGGCGGCGCACGGGCATCACACCCACGCCGAGCGCCCTGAGCGGTCAGCGCCGGGATGGATGTGCAGGTCGTTGCCACTGGGTTTGGTTCTTTCAACGGAGTTGCCGCCAACCCAACACAGCGAATTGTGGGATGGCTGCAGCAGCGGTACTGCGTCGGCAGCGGTGACAGCGCGGCGCACCCGGCAGCACGCTCCCTGCGCCATGGGAGGATCCACAGCTGCACCATCCTTAAGGTGTCAGCGCGCGCCGTTAATGCTTACCTGATCCAGCAGCTGGAGGAGCTGAAGCAGCGCGGCCTCGCTGCGTGTGCGAGCAGCCGGGGCCCCGAGGCCGCCTGCAGCCAGCCCACTGTCGTGCTGCTGCTGCACTTTGGAGTTGACGTCCAGGTGAGGCCTTACCTGGCCCGCCCTGCACGCTCGCGGGATGGGATCTCGCGTGCGCTTGGTCTGCGCTGGTATGCACGGACTGTTCCAGGCTTCTCCATCATTGGGCTGAGCACACCTGGTTGATGTATGCATCTGGCTATAAGCGCTAGTGAGTTCCGTCACCACACCATGCACTGACTTCCCCGCTCCTGTGGCACACCCCTTCCTCGATGTCATCCCCCGCAGCGGCCGTGGTTCAACCTGGAGACGCGCGCCATCAACAACGCCACCTTCCGCTCCCCGGACGAGGACGGCTGGCGGCCCAACGCGTGCCCCATCACGCCGGTCCCCGGCATGCCGCTCGAAAGCTCCGTGGGCACGGACCTCGACCTGCAGCGGCTGCACCGCCACCTGCGCGGCCGCGGCCATGACGTGCAGCTGAGCGGCGATCCGGGCAAGTTTGTATGCAACTGGACCTACTACAACAGCCTGGCGCTCTGCAGGGAGGCCATGGCTGTGGCGGCGCTGGCCGCGGCCGCCGCTGCGGCTCCGGCAGCTGCGGCAGATGTGGTGATGTCGCCCGCCAGCGACTCTGGCCGTGCCAGCAGCTGCAGCACCACGCTGTGCGGCAGATCTAGCAGCACCTGCAGCAGCGCGAGCAGCATCGGCGGTGGGGACGGCAGCTGCAGTGATGCTGCGAACGATGCGCATGGAGGAGCAGGCGCCGCTGCCAGCCCCCAGCGCCAGGCACTGCTAACGCAGAGGCACCGTTACAGCAGCAGCAAGAGGCGTGCCGGTGGTGGCAGCGGTCTGGCGGTGCACTCGCTGTTTGTGCACGTGCCTGCCTTTGACTCCATCAGCGAGGCCAAGCAGCAGCGCTTTGCGGTGGACCTGATTGAATCGCTCTGCGACCAGCTGCATCACATGTATTGGGGCGGCGGCGGCGGCAGCGGCGGCAACAGTGACAGCGGCCTCCCCCGTCACGCACGGTACCACAGGCAGCAGCAATCAGGCCGTGGCCATGGGCTCAGTAGGGGCAACAGCTGGCAGTCACCCCAGCAGCAGCAGCCGCAGCGGCACCAGCCGCTGCCCCCGCTGTCGCCGCAGCAGCAGTACCAGCAGCAAGCCGGCCTGGAGCCTACGCTAGCCGGCCCGATGCTGTCTTGACAGATCGAATGGTTCAGGCCGGCTTCTTGTTGGCCGCGACTGTTCCCGTTGGCCTCTTGGCACACTTTCGTGCAGCCCTCGTGCTGCAGCAATACAGCTGCTACCACCTGCATTAACGAGGGTGGCAAGTGCGTGGCTCCCGGCCCCACCCACCTTACAAACTTACACCTGGAATGGCAGTATCACAGTGGCCCTAGTGCCCAGCCATGTGCATGTTTGCGAGAGAGACGCGAGCCGCTGTGCCTGCGGTGAGTTCGTGGATTTGCGAAGCCAAGTGACAACCGAAGCGCGTCGGTCGAACGCCTGCTGCAGCACACGGTGTGCTGCGGTCCTGGCAACGACGGCCAACCTACTGCCTGAGAGCGGAGTGCTGTGCCTTCCACCGCTGCTCCGCAGCGCACCGAGCACGTGTTCCCACATTGCAGGGGCGGCTGCCGCAGTGTTGCGGGGCCCCAGCCGCCTGATTTATGGGCGCAGCCATCCTGTTCCTGATGTTCTGTGCACGCCCAACGTGCTGTGGCACATCTCAGGTGGTTAAGCGAGCGCCTTGAGGCGGGTGCTTTGGGGGAATTTCAGACTCGACCGGGGATAATGAGGGTGGGTGCACTCTGCCTTCCCACCTTGCGTCCGTAAGGGAGCTCGTATCTGTGAGCCGCAGCGGTCCTTGGCCTGAGCTGAGCGGTGCTGGCACAAGCCCTTGAGGCCATGGCGTTGCTGCTGATTGAGCGGCGCCTGGCCAACCGGCGCGTCAGCGGGCGTCCAGGGTAGCAGCCGGTGACATTTCACCGACCCCTGCCACGCGCTGTCCATCCACACAATTGACCCCCCAGCTGTATTTCTTTACATGATGTACTTTTCTCTGCCCAGAGAGCTACCATCTTTTGTGAGAGTGCACTGCCTCCATACAGAGTGCGGCTGCTGCTCCGAGAGCGCGCCGCCATCCGTTCCCCTGTGGTGCCGTCACCACCTGAATCGCCAAAGCGCATCCGGCGCAAGCCAAGCGCCACTGAACCACGAGAGACGTGTGCCCCTGTGTGTAAATGCTTGATAGCCTGGTGTTGCCCGCAGGTTGCACAGTCCAGCGTGGCGCAGGCGAGTGTGAATCGTGAGTGAGGACGAGGGCGCACGAATGCTGTCTGTGCGAGGCTGGTGTGGGACAGCCCAGGTGCAGGCCCCCTTGAGCGCTGCTATGTTGGCCTGGGAAAACCGCCACTAGCGAGTGGTATGGGGGCAAGGTGGGCGCCCTCCGCAATGAGCTGACCTCACCGTCACCAATGCAGGCTTTGTTGACGACCTGGCCTGGGGGCTGGTGTGGTGCAGTTGAGTTTGTCGCGATATTAATTGCACACCTCAGTGCTGAAGCCCATCCCCGGGCGCTTGCATTGCGTGTGGTGATCACACACAAAATATCAAGACGCCCGGCGATTTTCACCTACTATGCCCCTCAATCGCTCCTACTGACAAAGGAAGCCGAGATGAACGCAATGTTACGTGTTTGAAACCCTTTGTGTTCACTCAGCGCGGGGGCAACGCCCATCTGTGTGTGTGTGTGCCTGCACCAACCCACAGGGCTGTCGTCCCTCCGGCCCACCTCGACACCAGAAAATACTCAGCACTGCCATCTGGCCGGCCCAGGGCTCATCATCTGGTGTCTTCGAACAGCCCATTGGCGCGAGAGCAACCCGCTCGGCAGGCCGGCCAGCCAGAGCGGAGGCTGGCGGGACAATCTTCAAGGACTTTAGAGCTTGTGTCTTCAGCGGCAGTGTCGCCAGGGTCGTGACAGAGCGGCCCCGACGCCCGGTCGGGGCGCATGCAAGGTAGCATGCAGCATCAGCGCCGCCACCCGCGCCGCGTCGAGGTCGTGATCAGCGGCTTTGGGTCCTTCGCATTCGTCCCAAGCAACCCGACCTCTCGCGTCGTGAGCTGGCTGCAGCAGCAGTACGGCGCCGGCGCTGACGTCGCGGCGCAGTCCGCACCACGCTCCCTGCGCCATGGGAGGATCCACAGCTGCACCATCCTTAAGGTGTCAGCGCGCGCCGTTAATGCTTACCTGATCCAGCAGCTGGAGGAGCTGAAGCAGCGCAGTTTCACGGCCTGCACCGCTTGCGGCGTGGCTGGTGGCGGCGGAGCATGCGGCTGCGGTCCAACCGTTGTGCTGCTGCTTCACTTTGGAGTTGATGTCCAGGTGAGCCCTCGCGGCCCAACCTGCATGCGCATGTGCCAAATTTTCGCATGTGGTGGGTCTGCGCGGGCATGCATGGCCACTGCTAGGCCTGCCCCGCTGCTGGCTGTCACGATGATGCATGCAATGCATGCGGTTGCATGCACCCAACATGCATCATGCTCATCGCCCTTCGCTTGTGCAAACACCGTTGTCCTGCCCTTCGTTGATCACGTGGCCTTCCACCCCCGCAGCGGCCGTGGTTCAACCTGGAGACGCGCGCCATCAACAACGCCACCTTCCGCTCCCCGGACGAGGACGGCTGGCGGCCCAACGCGTGCCCCATCACGCCCGTCCCCGGCATGCCGCTGGACTGCAAGCTGACCACAGACCTCGACCTGCAGCGGCTGCACCGCCACCTGCGCGGCCGTGGCCACGACGTGCGGCTGAGCGCTGATCCGGGCAAGTTTGTGTGCAACTGGACCTACTACAACAGCCTGGCGCTCTGCAGGGAGGCCATGGCTGTGGCGGCGCTGGCCGCGGCCGCCGCCGCAGGCGCTGCTGCTGCGGCAGCCGGCATAGCGGCAGCGGAGGGCGGCTCCACCAGTGGTGACGAGACACCAACAAGCAGTGGAGGCAGCGGCTGCGGCTCGGGGCCGTGCCTGAGCGGCCTGAGTGGTAGCAGCAGCGACAGTGACGTGCCGGCTGGCGGCATTGGCAGCTCAGCTGTCTCTGGCCGCACGCGCGACGCCGCCGCAGCGGCTGCAGCGGTGGCTGGTGGTGTCGCAGCTTCAGGCGGCGGTCTGGCGGTGCACTCTCTGTTTGTGCATGTGCCTGCCTTTGACTCCATCAGCGAGGCCAAGCAGCAGCGCTTTGCGGTGGACCTGATCGAATCACTCTGTGACCAGCTGCACCACATGTACTGGGGCGGCGGCAGCGGCAGCGGCGACAACAGTGACACCGGCTTCTCCTGGCACGAGCGGCACTGCAGGCAGCAGCACTACATCAGGGCCCACCACGCCTACGCCTGCCCTTACGACAGCATGCACGGTGACGTCTTCAAGCAGCAGCAGCAGCAGCAGCCACCACAGCCGTCGCCGCAGCAGCTTCAACAGCAGCAGCAGCAGCAGCAGCAGCGGCAGCGGCCAGTGCAACGGTCACTTGCAGGGGCTGCTGGCCTTGGCAGCGGCTTTTCTGCACATGCCTACCAGCAGCTGCAGCTTCATGCACTGCTTCTGCAGCAGCAGCAGCAGCAGCAGCAGCAGCAGCAGCAGCAGCAGCAGGATGCTGGCTGGTGGTACACAGCACCATCGCTGCCTCCGCTGCTTGCGCAGCAAACCCTGCTACAGTATCAGCAGCAGCAACAGCAACAGCAGCAGCACCAGGTGTACCAGCAGCATTGCCAGAAGCTCAACCAGCAGCAGCTGCAGGAGCGCGAGCAGCGGCAGTGGATTGGCAATGGCTACAGCACCAATGGCCCTCCAGCCCTGCTGCAGCAGCCGCACCAGCAGCAGCACCCCGCTATCGTGTTTGCACGCCCGCCTGTTCTGGCATGAGTTGCTGTCTGGAACATAGTCATTAGCACAGCAGAGGGGCTACGGTCAGGTGCGCGCACCCGGAATCGCAGAGAGCCCTTGTGGTGCGAGGTGCGCGCTCTGGCAGGGCCCGCCATGGGCCACGCCATCGGCAGTGCCTGCTGTATGCTCTGTGTCGAGACGAGAGAAACGAGCGCGGAGGCGCACGCGAGGGATTAGATGCAACGCCCCCCCCCCTCAGCTTGGCTGACGACCAGGTTGCACCTGCCAACAACAGGCGCGCCAGAATGCCGCCCCTTTGTCGCTGCAGCGGTGGCCTGGCCCCTGCTCAGCGCTTCCTTCATCTGCGTTTCCCTTTGTCCAAACGTTTCTTTGCTGGTTTTGGTAAACCCATTTTTTTGTGAAACTTTTGGTCGTGTGACACCGCTTTATTGCTGCGAGGGGAGCTTGGGAGATTGGGAGAGGTGCTGCCGCGCTGTCCCGTGCAGGCCGCGCAGCGCCAAGGCGCGCCCTGCAACGCCCAAACCCGTGTTTGGTCGAAGAGTGTGTTGCAAGAGTTTGTTTGAACCGTTTTTCGAGTGTCTGTCTGTCCAGCTTCCTGTGCGCCAACGCACCGCCCTGAAGGGCGCCAACCATCCGCTCACTTCATTGTGAATCTCCTGAGCCGACCACCCAACACTGCCCTGGACCCCCGCGCTCAAGCCTGGGGGCCACCCTTCCACGGAAACCGCCGGCCGGCGACGCCTCAAAGGGCGCGTCACTGCCGTTCAGCAGTGCAAGATTGATCTGGTTTCGAGAGCAAGAGGAGGCTGCGTGTGAGAGGGGGTGCAACGCGCACTCCAGAGCGAGTAGACACTGCCACGCCTCCTCCCCTGCCCAGCGCCCGGTGCGGTGCATCGCCGCCCCGCAAATGGGCGTCCCCTTCGGCCTGCGAAGCGACGCGGGCTGTGCGCGGCGAGCCGCACTGCGACGGCGCCGCCACGCAACTTTCTCAGCACCTTTACAGCGATGACCGCTCGAGCGCATCTGCCCTTGCGTGGGTCCCCGCCCAAGGCACCTGCGTGCACACTCTACACTCACCGCACCATCCCACCCGCACATTTCATGCTGCCTTTTGCACACCTTTACTCTGCATGGACCCCTGGTGCAGCGGGGATGTTGCCCGCCACCCGCACCCCTTTGTACGTATGTGCTGAGCCGCAGTGATCTAACAGAGGTGCAGCACCGTGTGCTCTTGAGTTTGGGTGCGACCTCGCGTTGGGAGCCTGAGTAACTATCCACCGTCCATTTGACCTTTGGTCAGCCTCTGCATCGCGTGCCCGTTAGCTGCCGTTACAGCCTGCCTTGAAACAGATGATGGCGCACGTGTGCGCCGCATTGGTAGCTTAGTGCTGGGCAGCGCGGGCTGTGAACGCTCTGCCAGAGCCGCACGTGTCGGGACGAGGGCATGCGGCAAAGTCGAGGGGCAATAGCCGCGGCAGCACAGGGATCACGGCTGGAACTGTCCACAGGGCAAAGGGGCGGAAGGACAGGGAGGCGGGGCGCCCTCACGCAGACGCGCTGAACTGCAGCCGCTGCACACACTCAAGCGCCGCCGCCGCGCCCGCCGGCAAGACTGCCGCGTCCCCGCCGCTGGCGCCTCGCAACGACGCCGCTTCCGCAGCGCGCAGCGCGGGGAGGCACCTGGGGAGCGAGTGCCAGGGCGCTCGGGTCAGGGCACAGGCGAAGAGCCCTGCAGGGCCGCCACCAGGCTGTGCAGGATGGGCATTCGGCAGGCTGGGTGCAGCAACCTTGGCAGCCTTCACTGCCTTGAAGGCAGCAACGCGTCGTGACGAGCTTGGCGCCCAGCAGGCTGGCGCACGGCAAGATCTGTGCTGCGCGAGCTGGGTAGGTGCGCAACAGGCCCCTGATCCAAACTCACACACATGTGCACGCACACACACTCACACACGCACGCACGCACGCACACACACACACACACACACACACACACACACACACACACACACACACACACACACACATGCACACACAC